TATTAAAAAAAGATTTTTACTAAATTTACTACATTTGGTGGTTCAGGACTCAAAACAGTTCTTGAAAGAGTAACATATGTTTTTTAAAAGCTGTATTTGTTTCTCCCAACCAAAAATAAAATGTTTCTACTGAAGCCTTTATGATACAAATTTCAAATAGGTGATTGCTATTTGATTTCTGTGGCTCCTCTTAAAGCATGAAACCAATGATCCCTCCTGGTGAGATCTTTCTAAATAAGTACTTAAATACCACAAACCTAAAGCCGTTTACATTTAGAATTGGTCAAAGTCCAGAAAGCAACTTGAGGCTTCCTATTTTAGAATTGTTGACTTGTTCTCTCTGAGTACTTTCTCCCCAGTTACTGTTAAGTAGGTGATCTTTATATTATTTGGTGAATGGGGACTCTCTTTCTCCTGATGTCTTGATGGTTGGTTTGGGAGGGTTACTCCTCTTACATTCTGTCTCTGTACAGATTAATGAAAACAAACATTTTGGAAGCTGTTAACAGAATCCTTAAGTGTAGGCAGATGCTAAAGATAAGTCATTACAATACAGTAAACCATTTCCTTTGTTCCTGTAGGCTTTAATATTTCTCCTACGAGGCAGTACCTTCATAAATTGTTTGCTGGGAACATTACCTAAAATTTCATTACGGACAAATGAGACTAGACATTTCTTCATTAAAGATTAAATACCCTCGTCATCTTTACTCATAAAAATGTATGCAATGCATTTCTAATTGTCTTTCTTGAAAGATTAAAAGATAGCAAACCACTTTGTGTTCATCAATTGGATTCTCTTCAGTGGTCCTAGACTTCTGAAGGGGTCTCATTTTACACTACTTTGCATTTCAGCTCAGAGCCTTTATTAGGATAGCACAGTTTGTCAGGTACTCTACCACTCTGCATTTGAAACGAAGTATATGTTTTTATTTCAAGATTCAGTATTCCAGTCATGAAATAAAACAAGTCTAACAAAATTATAATAACCCTTTTGCAACTCAACTTTTTAGACACACAAATAACAACTGCTCACTAAAACATTTTTTAAACATTTGTTCCAAATGTCCATCATCGGATGAGTGGATACGGAAAATGTGGTATATCAACACAATGGAATACTA